AAAGGTCATAGAGGAAAGAGTTTACAAAGGAAACTTCAGGACATAAACTGTGAGTTTCTGTTATGCTGTGAGCGCTTCAGGAATAAAGGAGAGGAACGAGCAGAGGAGCAGAAACCACAGCACTCAAGTCTCTGAATACGGAGTATCCTGAACAGTCTGAGCAGAGGGAGCGTTTGGACAACGCTCTGAGGGACAGGGTGCGACTGGCGAGTGCCCGGGTAGGGCCGAGGTTGTTCTGGATGGTACCGGCGGGTCCCCCCAGCCCTGACATTCCCTGGCTGAGGGCGGTGCTGCAGAGGGGCCGCGGCCGGGTGGGTTCTCCCCCCTGACCCGGGCCCTGTGCCGAGGGCCGCGGGCGGAGCTGCGGCTCCCGGAGCGCGGGGACCCCGCGGGGCCGCACCGGGACGGGCGGGACCCCCGTGACCCCCGTCCCCGGTGCGGGCCCTGCCGCGGTGCTCCCAGGGTTGTCTCCGGGGTCTCGCCCCCCGCCCCCCCCTCTCCCCTCACGCACCGGCCCCGCCGCGCCACGGCCCGCGCGCCGCCAGCCCCGCCCCCCCGCGCGTGCGCACCGAGCCCCGGCCTCTCGCGCGCTCCCGTCCCGCCGCGGCCGCGCGCCCGCGGTGCCGGGGCTGAGGGGAGGGGGAGCCCCGGGGCACGGCGGGCTCCGGCTGCGGGTCCCGGGCTGCGGGACCCCCGGCCTGCGAGCGAGGGGCGCGGAGCTGCTCCAGGCGGGCAGAGGCAGGAGGGGGCTGCCCGGTGCCCCGCCCTGCAGCGCTGTCGTCCCCGCCGGGGCCGCGGTGATGTCCCTGCCGATGTCCCCGCCGGTGGTGCGGTGATGTCCCCGCCTGTTGTGTGGTGATGTCCCCGCCGGTGGTGCGGTCGTGGTTCCGCCGGGGCTGCCGTGGTGTCCCCAGGGGCAAGTGAAACGGCACTGCGGCTCAAACACCATAAAGTGCGGGAAGGTGACACTGTGTGGAACACCCGGCCCGGAGCGATGAGCTCGGTGCTGGCCATGGGACACGCGGGGATGCCATTGCACCCTCACGGTGAGCTCGGTGCTGGCCATGGGACACGCGGGGATGCCATTGCACCCTCACGGTGAGCTCGGTGCTGGCCGTGGGACACGCGGGATGCCATTGCACAGCGGGGGAGGTGAGGCACAGCCGGTGCTCCGCTCGAGCGGATGGTTTGGCTCCGTAACAATGCCTGTCGCGGCTGTGGCTCAGGAAGCACCCGGGATAACACAGCCCTGGCTGACCCAGGGAACCAGGGCTGTCTCGGGAGGACCTGCTCGTGCAATCATAAAAACAGGTACCTGAGTACAATGCAAAGTGTTTTCACTGCTCAGTGAGGAGCAGACATCCCTTCTTCTGTTTTGAATCACAGCTTGAGCCTTGCCCATCAAACCCACACAACACCTGCACCTACGGTATAACTGCACTTGTTTTGAGGTGACACTGGGAGGTACCACTGTCACACACAAAGAGGATCAAGCCAGTTTGGCTCCAGGGACACAGACTCTCAGTAGATAATTCGGATTCCCAACAGAGAGATCAGTGAGCTCACTGGTGAAAAGTTGTAAAGACACATCATTCTTATGAGGTGTTTTATCTCCCACTGCCATTTTACAGGCAGACCAGTGAGTCATGGGGCAGGGAATAATGGTTACAAGGCCACACAGGAAATACAGCACAAACCATGAGAATACAAGCTCGTGTTCTTACGGCTGTTGCCTACAGAGGTTCACTTTCAAGATGTTAATTTATTTTGAATGCTGATTCACATACAAAGTGTTGAAGCTAAACCACAGAGGGGCCTGTTGTATTCCTGTCACCAAAGTAGAGAGAAATGCTCTGATAACTTCAGGCTCGTTCTTAGAGTTGTACCATTAAAATACCCAGTGTTAAACTATTGCAGGTAACAAGATGAAAGCTGGCATCAAAATTGTTATTCACTCAAAATTCCTTCTGAATTTGTCAAATCAAGCCTCATTTCAATGGAAGTGGAGTTTATCTGTGCTGGATATATCTGTATTTTCTCCTTGTGCAGACGTTACTCTGAGATGTGCATGACAGGGAGAAGGAGACAAAACACAGAGATACAGGTCACTGGCTTTCCTTCACATCTCCTTATCTCTGAGCAGCCTTGAGAGGGACCAGCAGCATATGCCAGTCACTCAATTAACTAATCACACCCCTGTTCCTTCAACCCAATATCTGCTCCCGTTTCTGATGATAAGCCCAGACTGTGCTGCAGCCAGAACTTGCTATCTGAAGGACAAGCTCCCTTAGACAAGTCATGCCACATTTCTTTTAGAATATCAATAATTGTACAGACACTTTCACAAATGTCTGCAGCTCTCTTTTTGTGATGAGCCGGTGTTTGGGCAGCACCTAAATGAGAGGCTCTGAACAGCAACCCTCAAGGTCAGAGTGAATCACAGAGGGGCAGAAATATCACACTGCTGCCAGGAGCCAAGGCGAGAGGGACAAGTGATCTGTGAGGAAAGACTGAAATAACTGTCTAGAAATGGTAAAATGGGCAAAAGAGACCATTGCAACGAGGGGGTCATGCATTGTTCTGCATGACCACTGGAATATAGGAGGAGCAAGGGGGTCACACTGCAAAATAATATTGTACCTGTGAGGTGAGGATGACACTGAGGAATCGTGCCCATCACTGGGAATTTTAAGAGCAGGTTAGACAAACATCTTCCAGGACCACTACAAGTAAAGTTAATCCTGCCTCGAGACAGGGGACTGCACTAAAAGCCCTGAAGATCCCTTTCCTGGGAATTGTCAGGGTTTGTTTTTCCTTCCAGGAGTGTTCCTGCTCTCTGCAGTGCGGCAGAGAATCCATGGCTCTGTGCTGCCCTACAGAGGCTGAACACCTGCAGCTTTTGCCAAGTCATCTCTCAGCTTTCCATCCGTGTTACAGTCTTTCGGTTCAGGAATGTCATTCTGAGAACAGACTATTTGGTGTTATCTCTGGCTGATTCATTGCTCTAACGAGAGTTTTCAATTGCTTACTATTTCTTGAAACTCAGCTGAATTAGTACATTATTAAATTAAGGTCCAAACCAATGTCAGCTTTCTGACAAGCCTAATATGACTCTCTAAATCATGATGGTTGGAAACCTTCCGTTCTAGAAATGCATTGCCTTCAACTCTGACACAGTTGTCTTTGCTGCCTGATTTTCAGTGGTGTTGTCTGGCTGTGTCCCATTGTTTATGTTGCCTCCCCTAGAAGTTCCATGCTATATGGATATAAATATGTTTATTCTATAGCATAGTCCCATGTGGGACATGAGTGCATCCACAGGAAACCCTCTGAGCTGGCAATTTCCCAGGAGGAAAATGCTTCTGCTCTGTGTTGTTACGGGATTTCTCAGGCAATGGTGGAGTAGAGCTGAAAACCAGTTACAGTGGCAAGACATGCTCTCCCTGCCAGGCTTATTAAACTCCTCCTGTGACCACACACGTGGTAATTTCCTTTCAAATCTGCATAACGTTTACGATTTTGTGCTCTCAGCCTCTCTGTGGTTTGTGTCCTTCCACAGTGACTGTTGCACTGCAGAGTTCATCTGGAATTATTTGTATGAAACACTCCATTTATAAAATAGGAGTTCATTTACTATTACGTTAACTAATATTTAACAACTGATATTAAACAATTATCATGCTATGGAGTTTCTACTCCATAAAATTAAGTTGCCATATGCAGGGAATTTTGTTATCCAAGGTGATTGTTTCCTGGATGCTTAGGAGCTTTTACAGGGAGTTGGAAAGTTAATTCTCAGTCCTATCTCAGCCAAAACATACAGGCCAGGTACTCTTTAAATACATATTTTACGTGCTTAGGCTTATTAAAAAAAACAGAAATGTCAGCTTGTAAAACTCTTTGCCCATGTAGCACTCTCAAGAAAATTAGTCATAAAATCATAAAAGAATGATCTATTCTTGTAGTGTCTTTAGGTAATTTTGGAATCCATGCCAAGAAAAAAGGTTTTGCATAGAATCTCATAAAATTCAAGTAATGATTTGTCATTATAATAATTTCTGTCTCTGGTTTTGACAGAATGTGCCTGTGAAGTTTTCTTATCCCATACTAGTTATAGTCCACAGAAGGAACATGAGGTCACTCTCCTTTTTAAATAAAGCCCTTTTCTTTCTCACAAGGTGATTTGGACAGTAGTGGGAAGATGGACTGTAGTTATTTACATTAGCCAGTTCCAGTTTCCCCAGACTGACAGAAATTCCCATGGAAATTCTGGTTACATTAACTTTGACAGAGATATGGGACTGTTTTTGGAAACTTAAAAAAAAAAAACAGCTAGGGAATACTTTTCATTTTTATTAATATGCAGTATCTTAATTTTGTTTATTAAAGAAATAAATCAAGGTTAGTTTCTGCTTAGTTTCAGATGGTTTTCACAGGAGACAAAAAACCCGAGAAGTCAGACAAATATTGGCCAAGCATCAACCCAGTAAGGAATCCCATAATAGAAATCCCGAGGTGGACAGCAGTAAAATGAATAGCATGAGAAAAGAGAACATTAAATATGAGTATGTTGTTAGCATACTTACTTCAGACTTGGACAGTGCTTTTGTGTTCTTGGAGATTAAACACACTTGGATGAGGAATTGTTGTAACAAACCCTCTGATCCAGCTGCCATCCCATCCCATCCCATCCCATCCCGTCCCAGCAGGTACAGCCCGAGGGCTCTCAGAGACATCACAGGGCACAGTCACTCCTTGTCCTTTTGGGCAGCTCCCAATTTCTATTACAAACTACATGAATCTAAAAATGATGTGAACATTCATTTTCTCTGCATCAAATCTTTCAGCCTCCCCAAAGTCACTTCTTTCCTTCTCCCCATGGAAACTAATGCAGAAAGTCTGGGCTTGACATTCCAGGAGCAATTAAGGGCACTTACAGCCCCTGAGTTTTGCCCAGCCCTTGAGCTCCAGCATCAGATTTATTTATCTTTTGGTGATGAAACATTTGTTCTTTTGTAGGTCATTAGTTTTTCTGCTTCATCAATCCCCTGGGTGAGTTGTTAAATGATGTACAGCTTCTGTTTTGTCAAATTCTGACTCTCGCCTTCACCTCATGTGGCTGAGCACTGTGCAGGGCAGTGAGAAGCAAGGACAAACCTCCAGGTTCGGGGAAGACTATCAGTAAAAGTCCATTTTTAAATTGTATTTCAACTGGAAAGAGAACTGTCAGAGTGGGGTGTCTCCACTAGGTGTCCATGTTTCAGCAATTTTCAATTAAAGCTTCAGTGACCGCAGCAGCCCTGTGCAGAAAGCAGAAAAATTGCTATGCTCCATTGAGAGATTTTCATGTTAGGGAAGTGTGCACCTGGGCCTCTGTCTAAAAAGGCACCAAATCTAGCACAAAACACTCAAAACCCACTTTTCACTTGCACCTCTTAGGCTCTCAAACAGGTCCTTTAAGGCTGGCAGACTTTTTACATATTGATTGTTGTCTCCCTGATTGTTTACAACCTTTCTTTTCCTAATCATTTTTCAAATTATTCTGTGTTTTGTATTAACTTGCAGTTAATATAAATAGTTGGAAAAAGCTTTTTTCCCCCTAGTTTCTCTATTCATAGCTCTGTGTTGCATTCAGCTGCGTGCAGAATCCTTAAAACAGTGGCTCACATTTTTAGATCCGCCTGCATAATTGTTAAATAATTGCTTTGCTCATTACATTTCTCTTCAAATATTGATGGCTAATGTTTACCTACTTTGCCTGAGTATCTAATGGGTGTTGGAAGGAACAGTCATGCTCCTGTGCATGTAAGTTTGTGCTCACAATTTTAATAAAGCTCTAGATTTGTTTATTCAAGATGCAATTTTTGTGATTTCCATACCCATTCATTAATAAGAGGTCGGAGAGCAGCTATTTCATTCAAATACTCGGGAATTCCAAGGAGCTGAAATGAAGGCCTTATTTGAGGTTATTGAATTCTGTTCTAGGCATAACCCAGCAGATTTTTTTTCACTGTTTTTCTTCTGGTTTTCCAGGCATTTTCAGTTTGTTAAATGTAAGGATAGAATAGATTTGAGGGAATGCTATGTGCCAGAACATTTTAAGGCAGGTTCCAGCACCGGATGCAAACTAGGCTCTAGTGATTTATAATTCTCGTAGATGTGAGTGTAAAATCTAAAACTGAATTTGACTCCAACACTTTTACCTCATTTACAATATTAAGAAAACAGAACAGGTTTTTTTTATTACATAAAAAAATGAAAATCTGGTGTCACTCCGTTTAATTTAGACCCTGCCTGGTCCAGGAATGTGCTTTAACATGGCTGTCTGCCTTTAAGCACAGAAACAATCCTACAGGCTTCAGATATTACCTGAACTGTGTCTCAGAGCTCATCCTAAATGCTGTCCAGGTTCATGTGTCATAGCCGACAGAAGGACAAAATAACAAGGAAATCAAGATAAAGGCCTAAATCATCACATTCTGAGAATGGAAATAAACAAAATGAATCAATTTGTTGCCAAAAGTATATATGTTTTTAAATAAAAAACCCAAACAAAACCCAACCAAACCCAGAACATCCTCTTACGGAATATATCCCAGTCTTGAATATTTACTTTCCGTTTGTTTAATAACAGGAAGAGGCTTGTAGCTGTTTTATTGAGTTTTACATGTCAGCATCTAAATATTCTGATGGTATTCTTAAAACTTTTACCAGGAAAAAAACAGTGCCATGGCCTATACTAGGAAATGTTCTGTTTATTTTAAATGCATTTATGAGCACACAAAGGCAAACAATTACCTGTCATAAACCAAGGGAGCAACTCATAATGGCTTGGTGTCTCATTCGTACTTCTTTGTGTAGTTCTTTGGCTCATTTGTTCCTGCCCTTCCTGTGTTCTGTTCCTCACCTCTCCCTGTACCTTTTGAACTTAAGTGTAGGTTAAATCCCTTTTTTCATTGCCCCATTACTTGCTGGGCTCTGCTTCTCCTGGTGTCTCAGCCATAAGAAATGTTGGGCTAAAGGTTCATCAAGGCTCTTTTTCTGGACCCACATGACAAGGATGGTCACCAGCATGGAAAAGCGAAGCCTGAAGCCCAAGGGCTGATTTTTAAGTACATAATCCTTGGACTGGACTCTGAACGAAAGAATGACAAACAGCTTTCAAAGATCATTAAGCTTCCTACAGAAGTATTTTAACCTATCTTGGCCTTGCCTGTTCTATTGTGGCAACTCCAGTAACTGCAGTAAATTTTGGCCTAATCATGTTAAAAAAGAGATAATTCTGTCAGTGTAGGATAGACTAAACTCTGTAAACTAGGCTAGTTTTCTCTTTGCCTAACTATGGGCTTGTTTAAACAGTGAGTAAGCTACAAACAGCCAGCCACTGGATTCCCTTGGATCAAAACTGTGAGCACAGGAGTGCTTCCAATCCAGGTTCCAGTTAAAAAAAAAGTAAATAACTCATAAAAGGAAGTGCAAACAGTAGGGAAATCTTGTTTGCATCTGTCAAGCTGTGTAAGGGACAGTCAGACTGGAAAGAATGGTCAGATTATGAGGCGCTGGGTGGGCTTTGAGGACATCTTACATACTTGAAGGAGTTGGGGAGGATGTGTGATCTCCACCTAGTTGTTCTGCATCTTCACTGTCTGAGCCACACCAGGGATCTCCTGCACAGACACCAAGTTTCAAAAGTAAACTCTGGGCTCGGAGCCCCAGGCTTTGTTATCACATCTACCTCCTGATTATTGCCAGGAAAAAGAGATTCAGCACAAAGCTGGGATCATTACCACTCCCTTAAAAATGACTGGTCTCACTGCCACGGGGGGAAGGGGAAAGCGCAGTGCTGCTGAGCTGAGGTTGGTCACCAGTAGTTTATCTGGGAAACACCTCTCACAACTCAGGTGACTGTGACCAGGTATCGCTGGAATGGGCAGGTCAAGCATGGCCATTTCAGATCATGCAAATATGGACATGCTGTGCCAGCTAAAGTTGCCTTTGTAGGATGAAACCAAGTCTATAAAATGGAATTTAAACACTATTTAGTAGTGAGGGCTTTGTAAGCAAGACGTATTTTAGAAATCTGAGTGCGAAAAAGGAGATGAGACAGAAAGACTTTCTACATTATGTTAAGAATTGAAAAATATTAACCCTGATCATGAGTGTGGTCACTGAGAGAAATGTCTGTTATGTTAATTAATATTAAGATGTTACTATGAAGATATTATTAAGATCATATTAAAAACATGAGCGAATTAAAGAGGCTGGCACAGGACAGAACTGGTTGGTCAGGACTTTTCTGGGCAGTACGACCAGTCAACAGTGCTTCATCCCTCAGAGGTTGAAAAATCCCCTCTGCTCACCTGCAGAAAGAGTGGCATTTTGTGTTTCACTTCCCCTGGAAATGGATGAACCAATACAGAAGCGGCCATATTGCAGAAGGCTTGGTCTTCACTGCTCAAAATGCAGGATAAATAATGGATAAATGGATAAATAACTGTTGGACCTATTCTGAAGTAAAAAGAGGAGACTCAGCACTTTGTATTTATCCTGGTGAAACTGTGCTATGACCCAAGCCCTCCCCTGGAGCTGACCGTGGTGTGTTTAACTCAAGCTGAAGTGCTTGGTCTTCCCTGAGCTGTTGTCTCAGGGTTGCTTCTGCACATCAGCTGCCACAAAATCCTCACCATATGTTTCTGCAAGGTTATTTTCACACATGATAAAATATACAACAAGCTCCAATTCTTTAGCTTCTTCCATAAATCCAGACCAGAGGCGTGTGGCCAAGCAACATGGGTGGCTGTGTTGGAATATGAACACCACCGTGGCTGCACTGCAGCAGGTTATGAAACCTTCTGTGCAATTTATGACGACTGGATTTCGTATCACAAGGGAAGAAGTTGATTAACAGTCGAATGACAACTGGATGTCGGTGTTCAGGTGCGTAAAACAGATACAAACATGCAAATTATACACATATAATTGAATGTCCCAGAAATACTGCATAGAAACACCCCATTTCTCATATCTTTTCTCTGACAATAGCAGGTAGAAATTACAGACATAATTTAATGATCTAAAATGTGTTGGCTTTCAACATTTGTCGTATTTCATATAAGTGATTTTCATCCTGTTGTGTCCTGAAACACTAGAGAGAAATGAAGGACGTTTGAATTAGCACTTTCAACCTGCCACAGATGGAAAACTCCATCTATAAATGGATATATTCCATTCATTGTATTACAGCCACAGAGTCCCACAGGAGAATCACAATTCTGCAAAATGCCTGTAGGGCTCAGCATTATGTATTTGGTTCTTGGATTAGGGGAAACACTTGTAACAGAGAGCATCCTGATGAATACACCTCTGAGAAGGCTCATGTGGATGCCTTTTAAAGTGCTTAAAGTCTGGAGCAACTGACATGTGCTCAATTTGTTCTAGATATAATTGTGTGAGTTTAATGTGCAGACTACCTGGAACAATGGGATAAAACCTCCTGGTTTGTCACACTATTGTCCACTGGGGTGTGCTGATCCAGAGAACTGAATCCTCTGGGGAATGAGAAGGGAATTCCACCGTGAACAGTCTCCAGGACTGTGTATTTTGGATTTGCATTTTGCTTCTGTTCTTATGATGTGCAGGTTGCTGTCAGGGGGTGGCTGCAGTTTTGGACCCTAGTTCTGCAGTCATATAAAGAGATGTTTGGTACATTTAACAGGCCACAGCCATGTAATGACATCTGAACTTCACTTCTTATATTACTGATGGCAAAAAACATCCTCTTTAGCCTTCAGATAGAAATTTCTGTGCTTCCTCCTAAAGAATGTTCCAGTTTAAACCACACATGCTTTTCTTACTCTTTTACCAGATACTGGAGGTCTTTTTTTTGATACTTTTTTCCTGAAAACTGCTTTTTTAGCTTTTTTTTCACCTTGAGGTGTGTGTTTTCCAGTTGGTTTTGCTTACCAACACAAGCATTTTAGATATATCTGCCTTTGCAAAAAATGTTTTTCTAGATCTTTTGAACCGTGGTATAAATAACAATATATTTCTGTCCCAATAACATAATTATTCTCATTCTTAATGTTCTTCATTCAATTAGCTTATAATAGCTACTGTCTTGCCTCAACCTTTCCTAGGGCAGGGACAGTTTTTCAAATGCAGCAGGAAAATAGTATCTTGTTCCTGCTCGAGTCCTTAACACTGTTTTAATGCAAATATTGTGGCCGTGTGTATAATTTTTTTTAGTCACTCAGTGGAAAGTCTTACAGGTCCCGAATTAGAAAAAGTTTTGTAGAGTTCATATTACTAATCTATGGAATTTATACCAAAGGTGTTGAAATCACTTACGCTTTTGCTGACTCACTTCCCCCAGGGATGGCTGGTGACCTCAGAAATGCCCCCACACGAGTTCAGGGCACGTAATTGCCATCTACAGCATGAAGAACATACTGAACTCTCAACTCTGGTTCATCCTAAAATTTTTTGCCTAATATATCTTAGTGGTGTGCAAACCCCAGAGTCTATTCCAAAGGCCATTTTCTTTTACAATCTGCTCTGACTCAGATGCTCAGTTAGTGTGGTATTTACAAAATATCTGTACCACCGTGAATTTATCTTGCCAACAGAAGTTAAATGGTTACATATTAAAAAGATTTTATAAGCACGATATGCCACAGTAAACATTAGTAAAAGTTGTTCTAAAACTATTTCTGTCTTTCATTGGGAAACAATTATTCAGGCTTGAAGGGGAAGACTGCTTAGTAAAAGGAAGGAGAAATAAACATTCTGAGGTTTTAAAGGAACTCTGCTTTGCTGATTAAGTGCTTTTTACAGAAATGCAACTAATGTTTCCTTCTTTTATAATTCTTAAATCGGGCCCAAGTGCCAGTAAATTACTTTCTTTGCTGTGCGTGGAGGTTTATTTTTAGTCACAAGGCGAGTATAGACAGCAGGCTGAAAATCAAGCTGACTGCACACTAAGTAAACTACCACACACTTGAACTCTTGGTGTCAACTCATTCATCTCACTGTGGCTCATCTCAGTTTTCTGTCAGAAACAACTTTTCAGTAGCCATCTGCCAAGGCTCTGAAACTGCCTTACATCTGAGCCTGTGCTTATCTTCTGAAAGCATCAGTTTTAAAGCTCCAAGATTTTACTGGGGTTGAATTTTGCAGTACTTCGAGACTCACAGTGGAGTTGGAATTTGGTGTCCTTGCTGTCAATCTGAGAGCAGAACTGCTTGGCAAGTGGTGCTGTTCCCTGTGGAAGTGTGGTGAGTGCTGGGCACAACCACCATGCTGTCCTTTTAGAACCAAAATACCAGCCTTGATGTGTGACAGATAAAACTGTTCAAAACGAGTCTCTCACTAAATATATAACATCACCAGATGACGACCTGCTAAGCAGGTGACAAAAGACAGAATCAGATTTTTTCAATGCCTGCTGGGCTGTTTGTGCAGTTTTTCTCTAAATCGAGGGATCCGAGAGATCCAGCTTTTAAATGAATGATTTTCCTTTCCTCTTGTGTTCACCAATGCTGTTTACCAAACTATAGTTCATGCTGAGCCACTGCTTTTCCCTCCTGTTCCCATCTTGTTGAATCAACACACCAACAGAGAAAGCAGTTCTGGGATGGTCAGCCTGAAGTGTTTGCTACACCATTAAGGAACAGAACATTCTCTCTCGTGTCATCTGGCTTTCAGCAGTGTTGAAAGATGGAATCAGTTAATGCTCAAGCTCCCTGAGATCCATACTGGTAAATATGCTGTTTGGTTTCAATTAAGTGCACCTCCCCCCTGAAAATGAAACTGCACGCAGTGCTGCTGCTTCAGGAGAGCTGGATTCTGGTCACAGCAGCTGACCAGCTAAAAATCAATTTTTTTTCACCCCTTCTCATACTGTAGAGGTAACACAACTCCAAGCAGTGAACTGCTGATTATAATTCATCTCCTGAAACTACAAACAGAATTGTTTACTAAGTTTCAGTCCATTACAGTGACACAAAGCCATTGGAAGTGACAGATGGGTCACCGAGGGTGGCACAGCACGGGTGAATTTGAGGGCCTCATCTGACCTCTAGAACTTTTTCATTTTGGACACATGGAACCTGTAAGACTCTTATGTCACAGAAGCCAAACTAAATTTGCCAGGCTCGTACTTGGCAAAAAAAAAGGTTTTTGCAATGTCTGTAGTCAGTGTAATTTCTTATACACATAAATATGTCTCTGTTGTCCTCAAACACCCAATAAAGTCAGACCCAGGTGTCAGTCCTTGTTGCTCACTACAGAAACCATACAAAGAAAATATCTACGGATTCTGGAAAAATCACAGGATGTGGTAGTGCTGGATGCTGCCTGTCCCAGCAGCAGGGTCAGCCAGTGGCAGCCTGGTGGCACTGAAATGGGTTGAAGAAAAGTCTTGCGACTGCAACCCATGAACACAACTCACTGCAAGACTGGGGCAGGATTGCAGCAACTCCTGCAATGGGTCCAAGCCCCTGGGAGAACAGTGTCTGATTGAAAAATGACTGGCGGTTGGCTTCGAATACTTGGAATAAATAAAACAGCAGCTCCTATTATGCAAGGTCTATATACTTTCCTCACAGACTTTCACAGAAATGCCACATTTCTGACACCTTTCCAGCAGCTGTTTAGAGACACCCTGGTCTAGGCAGGCAGGATGTGAGACTACAAATATGAATTCTGGGTTCCGTTCCCTGTTCTGACATGCATTTGACAAATAACACCTCAGTTACTCACTACCCCTATTTGCAAAAAGGATTGAAGCCACTTACATACATCTTACTTTGATATTAATAGACAATAGCACTGTTATTTAAGACTTATTATTTTTATAATTCTTTTTAAGAATCCTTTAAAGCAATTCTTTTACAAAAATTCATTTCAAAATTATTATGTATTCATAGCAATAGCAGTATCTATCTAAATGCAAATTCACTCCTTCATCCTATTAAGTATCTATAATGCATATTTAAAATCTCTATAAACCTCCCTACTCCATATGGAATATTCTGGTCTCATAGGTGAGCAGCAGGAATTTGAAAAGTCTTTCTAATGCACATTTATTTTTTGTATGCAGGTTGCAGCAAATTGGAAAGGCCCAGAAAATGTGGATTAAAGTAAAACTGCTCTTAAGGACAGGATTTAACTGTTCATTCACGTCTTCAACTTGGAACCAGCAGTAATGGCAAAAGTTGAGATTCTGAATGATAGAAAAGCCCATCAGGTATATCTGATTAAATGGGAGTCTTGTATTTGTTCAGGTAACATCAATTTTAGAGGAGCTGAGGACCATAATTTGTTTATGAGAAATCATTCTATCAATTAAAAGGTGACAGGTATTAAAACAACACTAATTCCTTGCTTCTGCCTTCTCTTGTTTCTGATTTTACACATTCAAGTGACATTGAATCAGAATAGATGAAATAAACTCATGCTCTGTTAATCAAAGTCTTCTCATGTAAGTCTGTACCTATTTTTATGAATGGCAAATTAAGCACCCCCTAATGTGCCAAAAAACCAGCAAGGAGTTGTTAAACTGTATCAGACCCCAGGTAGGTCTAATTTAGTAGCACTATTCCAGAGTGACCTTTCCATTTGCTTCAAAGGAAGATGGGAAAAATGAATGTCAAATGTTGCACTTTTGCAAAAGCTTCTGTCTTTGCTGGAATGGGAACCACGGCTGTGGAAAAAAAATGTGAAAAGTCGAGAGCAAGAACTAAACTGCCTGGGTCTGAGCTCATTCTCAAGAGGTTATAGCCAGGTTACACTGAGTTTCAGAGGGAAAAAACCCTCCCCTTGCTGCCAGCTCTTAAGCCATGGATTTATTAGGACAGTGGCTCCCCTCCTGACAATGTCACACAACCCAAGATGGGTTTTGGAACTGTGGCCTGAGACCCCCAGTGCCAGCCCTGCTGCTCCTCACACACACATGATCTGTTCAGAGGGGTGCAAAACAACCCCACATGTCACAGCTGCTGGAAGGCTGAATGTTATTCAGGTTATTTCTACCTCTCATTTCTTAAATAAGAGGTTTAAGGTTAGGAGGGTTCTGGAGCTCATCACTGTAATTTAGACTGCTGCACAGAGTATCTGTGTAGATAATCTCACCCCTTTCTTCCACATATCAGAATTTCAAGGCAAATGCATCTGTTTAGTCTCTGCCACATTACTGCAAAGTTAAATAATGTCAATGTACATAAATAACTTCAATATATGTACTTTGCTACTTACAATATAATAACAACACCTATTTGCACCACAGGATGCCTAAATTCAGGCTGATAACTGTGATGTGAGAAGCACAGTCCAGAGGTGGGACCCGGATTACATTTCTGGGGGGGGGGGGGCAGCATGTATTCAGAATTAGCAGATTCTAATTAACAGTGAAGAAAGGAGGTAGTGGGCACCAACTTATTTCATGAGGAAAACAGGAATCTGCTGTATCTTATCCTTGTATAGCCAAAACAAAAAGGACATACCAAAGCAGGAGCTTCCCCCAGAGATACCTCATTATCCGTGTGTGCCACTGAATACAGAGACCCAGGGCCAGCCAGGTCTGGCCGTGGGGAACGATGTTTTAGTGACATCATCAGCACACAGAACTCTATGGAAGCTGGGGGGGTTGTATTTTATAGTTGTTTGCAGCCAGTTTTAGGAGCACTCCCAGCAGCAGTCAGTTTGTATTGGCAATAAAGCCAGCCCTCCAGGAGGAGGGGAAGCGTCACTGCATCAACTGCACTGGAAAATAAAAGCAAGCACAGCAGAATGAATATTTTAAACTGGCCAGGAGTGATGTTAATATCATTAATTCTAGGAGGCGCTTTTCTTCAGACAAGTGGCCGGAAACTTCATTTTGTGAAACTGGTGCTGCAACGTTTACAACCATAACAAGAGGTGATAAAAAGGACTTTCAGCCCACACAGAATAGTTTTCTAGAGTAAAATTCCTGGCTCTCTTTAGGTCTGTAATGACCATTAATATCAAGTATGTCCTTAGCATAAACTTTCTCATGGTCCTGAAGTAATTTCCTCCCTTCTGTTAAAATTGAGACAATTGCAGAGAACACTGAAAACAAACCCTATCTGAACCATCTCCCAGTCTGCCTTCGTGCAGTGGATGGGCTTTAAGGTCCCTTCCTCCCCTCCAACCCAGACCAGCCTGTGACTCAATGATTCCCATGACTTTGAAGACATGGGAAGGCCACCTGGGCAAGTGTACAACAATCCCATTTTGGAGTTGCACCAGATCTCTGCTGTTCATGAACCTCATGAGACTTTGCCTGGTGCTGAGATGAGGTGAAACTTTTGCTGTCTTTTTCAAACACAGCCCTATTGCAGCACTGCAAGGTCCTGTTGCATCAACATGAGGTTTCAAAATATAGTAAAACCAACTTGACCCTCAATTATTTATTTATTTGGTGCTGATGTCTCAGAGAGCAGCAGCATTCCCAACAGCAAGTGGATTCCAAGCATCTGTCCTTAGCTTTCCAGTGACCCTAGGGAAGCAACCCATAATCCACATATTTTAATTGCCAGAGGAGTTTGTGGGCTGTGGAGGGGTGGGAATGTGGGCAAGTATATTTCTGGATCTATAATTAATCCTCCTTGTTGTACGAGTGAGATTTATGTGACAGCCTCGCCACTGTGAGGATAAAGGAGTTGTTATACAGAGATGGGGAGGTCTGTAATTTGAAGGAAGAGAAATATAGAGCAATTTCTCTGTGTTTAATAAACCAGGCATATTGGCAAGGCTCTCTTACAGTCCAGTACCATGCTGCTAAGAATGATCCTTTAGTTTTCTACAGCCTGAGGATTGTTCCAAGAGTGTCCCTAGAGTTTTTGGCTCCTGAGATCAGGATTCACCAAGAATTTGGATTAAAGACTGTAGCAGAAGTCAAAGCTTGCTAAAGTGAGGCTTCTAGGTCTTCTGACCACGGATGTAGCAGAAGCAGATGATACCCTGCTCACCTCTGCTCCTTCCCAGAACACCCTGCTGCCAGAATTCACTCCCTAAGGAGCACCAAAAGGAAGGAATGAACTGTTCTGCCACAACTTCTTTTCCACTTTGGCCAAAGCAGATAAGGTATAACGTGGTTATTATTTCATGCAGTCTCTTTTGAAACTTAGTCGACTTTTAAAACAGTATTGCTTATTTTAAAACTTTTCCTGTGCAAACTCTTCAGCTTCCTCCAGGATAATTCTGCATTAACAAGTCTCTGTATCCCATTGCAGAACAGACATGGACACTGACAGAAATCAGCGCACCAGAAACGTTCTTTTGCCCCAGCTGTTCCTGCACAGGCTGCCCCACGTGCACACCCAGCGTGTGACCCGAGCCCAGGGTTCCCACCCAGGGATCTCCTGACAGTTGGGTCGGGTTTGCCTCCATCCCTTCCTCTTTCCCCACTCTGCTGCAGGGCTGGGGCCGTGCTGAGTCACCACAGCACATTGTTAGTCAACAGGTTTCACTTACACAAGTGCTTGTAAGAGAATAATTTCTAGGTGCTGTACGTGACACAGGCCAGTTGCAAAAGATAATCCCCTTCTCTGGTTAGTCAGAATGCAGCCATTTCTTTGCCTGTATTGTTTGGAAGAATAAGGTGACATATTCTGTGTATTTAAACTGCTGGGGAAATTGTAAAGAAAAGAGATTTGTGCTTTGTTCCCTCAGCCAGCATCCTGCCATCCCACTGATTGCCTCGGAGCTCAGGCTCTGTTCAAGTTACTAGTTTGGATGCAAAGCTCCCAAGCTCCCCTTAACACAGTTGCATACAAATAGCTATCATTTGCTAAAATGAGAAATTATTCCATTTCTTCTCCTGTGAAAGCTTAAAAATTGCTCTAGAAATTCTCTGGCCAATATATAGTTATCGCTAATCATCATCAGCTCAGCCATGGTGTTCTCTGCACCTTCTAACGTGCAAAACTTCAGGGTCCAAATTCAGCGCTGGTACAAATGTCTGTAGTTCCCAGGAGAGTCTGGGAAATGCACCACTGGCTGTGCTCCTTACAGAAAGCTTTCAGAAACAGTACTGTGTTAAACTACAATAATCCCAGTACTTAACCCTAATGTTAAAAAATAAGCTAAGGCTGGCACTGGTGAACCTTGCTTCACAAAGCAGGTGTTATTTTTGCTTCATACAAGTGGTATGTTACTTGTAAAATGTATTGGACACAAACCAAGAGAACTTCCATGTCAGCAAAGCTACTGACCAGTGCAAATGCAATAAAAGCTGGGCAGAAGCTGCATGGATTGCTCAGCACTTTACAGAAAACAAATTTGGTTTATTCCTGTTCATATGCCAAAGCACCCAGGCAATTCTGGAGCCCTGTTGTAGATTGGCTCAGCACAGATCAGGAATGAATGGCTACAAATTCTGAATTAAATGTGCCCTACGAGTGCCTTTCCAGGTTGGTGCCTGCACACAAGTGACTTCTCAAACAGAGATTGACAGTCTTGCTGCTAAATCACACTGTTCTGTAGGTAAATAGACTCAATTCTCCAGAGATTTGATCTATCTCAGTATAAACAGAGAAGAAAATAAATGGGTAAGACAAAACCTGAGTAGGATTCCAGAAATCCAGCCATTCTTTTCAAAACCTTGGAGGAATATGAGGGAAGCAGCAGCTGATACAGGCCGTTGATCCTACTGACTGCATTTCTTAGAATTTCTACTGGGAAAATAAAATAAAAAGTCTTTCTATCAAATATCCCAAACTTCTGGGTGGTTTTGAGATAGAGACAGGGTACTAAATCTGGAGTATATGTCTGGAATCCCTCTGTCAAAGATGTGGCCGCCAGTCACAAAAGAAAACAAGACAACTCTGCACATATCCTGGGGTGACACATGTGCAGCCGTTTCCAGGACTAGGCTGAAAACATTCCCCTGTCATTTTGGAAAACATGCTGGTCAGTGCTGGCTCAGACCATGGACCCAAAGACAAATTCTTTAACATAAAGGACCCTGTGCTCTCCTACCTCAGAGCACCAACTGCAGGAAAGGGTTCTCCCTCAGAGGTGGTGTGGATGGCACAGGAAGTTTAAAATCAATCGTCATTTTGTTGAATTAGGAAAAAGAACAAATATTTAGTGAAGTAAATGATACTGTTCTCATCCTCATGAACAGAACAGTGACACAGAGCCATAAATTCAATGGTACTCACTTTTCAATATCTGGAAAGGTTTTTCCTATTCAGAGGCAACCATAAAACAAAGTGAGATTTCATGATCAGCCACCAAAAATTCACAGGCCTTCAAGACAAGGAGGCAGGAATAGAAGCCCAGGGAACAGAGCAGCATTTAAGAAGTTCATAACTGAGTGAAAATGAAGAGTCAAAAACCAAGGCAAGGAGCTGCGGAGTTGGTCAAAATGTAAGTTCCAACACAAATTTGGTCAGCATTTTTAAAACCTGTTTGTCTGAATACTGCTGAGATTTCAGAAGGGTGACAATAATTCTTCCTGCTGGGATTCCGTTCACGCATCTGCCTTAACCCACCTGAGCAGGAGGGATTTCCCTCCCAGCCCCTGGCAGCTGGCACGTGCCCTGCTGGCTGCGAGCTCGGGCTCTGCTGCCCTCCCTCCGGGGCCAGGACAGCCCTTCCTCTCCCTGGGAGCAACCAGGCAGCTGCCCCTTCACCTTGGCTGACTAAAGTGTGGGCAAAGGAGGTGCCCAGATCACCTCCCTGGACACGGAGAGCGCGGAGGGAGCTCTGGGCTGGTAGAGCATTTGTCCCCCGGTGAGTGGCTCAGACAGAACATGCAGCTGTGAACATGAGTCACAACTGCAACCACCCGAGGATGTTTAGGCAGAACACACAGCATGTGACCTGGGCCCAATTACAGCTGGGAATTCAGATTAAAAATAAAAGAGGAATGAGAACATTTGTCACAGAATGTGACTCCGTCCTCCAAGGAGAGGGAAATTTTCTGACAGGGAATAAAAACAGCATTTATTTTTATTAGAAGTGCTTCTGTTTCACTAGTTTTTTCTGACCCTCAGAGTATTTCTCCCTCATGACTTTGGCTTAGGGAAGCAATCTGTGAAACAACACAGTGTATGTTCTTTCTCAGCCTGGGAAGAGGGAACGTTTTGCCTGTGAGAAGCTGCCTGCACCTTGCACTTCTGAACAAGTCAAAGAGCACTTGGATCGAGATTCTTTACAGTAGATACGTGTGAGACTGAGATACACCTGCCAAACCGGGTCAGAACAAGGAAAAAAATGACATATTTGTTGTCTGGAAGAAATGTTTGGGGGGTATCCAAGCTGGGTGTTCTAAAGGGATTGTCCATTTGGAGGGAATTGTCCCTCAGGAACCCAGAAATGAACCGCTCCTGTGTGGATTCAAGTCCAGGCAGGGCCTTGCTCTGTGTTCCCCTCATTCTCCACAGAACTACTGAGGAAGGAAGGTGTGTTGCCCTGGAGGTGACAGAGTGTGACACAGATCACCTGTTGGAAACTGCCATCAGACTGGGTTTTGGGGATTTTTTTTGCTTTGAGTTCTCTGTTTGTTTGCTGTTGTTTTTTATTAATGCCCATGTCTGCATTGCTGATTTCAGAACGGGCACAGGACCATGAGTGACCTCAGG